GTGAGAAAGAGGAATGTCAATTTGGCAAATTATAAAAGAGCAAGCAGAGCTTTAAGTGCATGCTCCAGGTATTAGGCAATTCACGCTTCTCTTACTGCATTAAGGTCTTGTTTTGGAGTATGTGGAAATCTCTAAAAACAAAATGAAATTGGAATTTTCAGTCTGAAGAGCCATTTCCTTTAGAACCAACAAGAAAAAATTCACAGAAATGTAATGAAGTATTTTCCCCCCAAGGCTAAACTTGTTAAATTAAAACACAGAAAACAGATCTCCTGTCAACTAGAATGGAAAATAGCATAGAAAACGTTGCTTCATTTCTCAAAGCATAAACAAACCCAAAGCTCAACTTAATTCCTCCATTAATAAAGCAAAATTCAGAAAATAGTTTCAGTATCAATACTTTTTACTSAAACCATATTCAYGGTTCCTCAAAGGGTGGATTCAAAAGTTGCTTTATCTCTCTGTGAAATGAGTTATATTTACATGTGCTATCACCACTTCTTATATCTCAAGTGTTGAAATGTTATGTCATGCCTCAAACCTCTGGATTTAAGTGATTATGCAAGAAATACTGTTTTAAGTAAAACCAGATTTCCAGCATTTCAGATGAAAAAAAAATAATCTTAAGAACTGGGCTTTTAAAGTGAAAATCTCAGAATATATTTTAAAAGGCATAAAATATTAAATCAGGCTATTCTTAAGYCAGAGTCAAGATTGTGAGAGGTCGGCGGGAGGTGGGACTACTGCTACAATGCTGTCATGCAGCACCTTAAGCGGTGTCAGTTTTCTGAAACTAGGCAAATGTACTGAATTTTCAAAAATTCATTACATAAGGAGCAATGAATCTATAACAACAGAAATTAAAATGTATTAAAAACTGGGTCTTTCTCCTCTCCTTGTTTATAGTGTGGGTTACTTCAAAGAGGGCTGTTGTAGAAAAACACTTTTTCCTGCAGAGATATCCACAAGCCCTTGGAGGATACACATTTCAGCRCATGCCATTCTCATGCACCACCATCCTCAGCTTCTGGGTCTTTTTTTTTTTTTTTTTTGCAAGAACAAAGAGTTCCTGTAATTCTTACTTTATAACCAAAGCAGGAAGAAAAACCTTTCTGATCTAATAAAAGAACTGCAACATTGCAGATAAGCTAAAGCAACAATTCTAATAAAATCTTCCATTCCTGGCTGAAAGTTTTTGGTGATCATAAGTGCATAAGTGCAAAATAGTGTCTTACTTCCCAAGAGTATTTTTTTATGATATTAAGAGAAATCACTCACAGAAGGCCTAATCCTTTCAGAATCTATAGTTTTCTATGAGATCTTCCTACAAGAAGATCTTCCTACAAGRAGATCTTCCTTCCTTCCTTATGTATCTTCTTAATCAGAGACAGACAGGCATTTAATATTTAATTTTTTTTGTCCTGGCTAGATAAATTAGAGGTACAATAGAGTATTCAAATACCAATACACTAGGAGCAGGCAGACATGTGGATAGTTGCTCTGCGACTATCTTGGAGCCTAAGGCCATTTCATTCATAAAAGAAGTGATTACGTACCCTGTGTGGGTTAAATTTTCTCTAAAAATACAATGGAAGTCTCAAATCTGAGTTCCTTTTTCCCTCTTCATGTCAAAATCTGACTTACGGCCTTAGCATGTCTGTGCGTGTCAGGGGCAGTATAACGTTGATGTCTGCACAAGCTGAGCAGCTTTGGGAAAAGAARCAGCTCCAGTTGAACCAGAAACACTATCACTGGTCAGAAAAGTCCCCTTTCCTCTTTTCCTCACCTATGTAGCTCCAGGCTCTGTGCCAGCTGAGTCTCATTAACTGGTAGCTTGCTTTTGCTCCCATCACGGCTGAACAAACTGTGCATTTTCTCAATCATTTCATCTGTCTCTCACACACTAACACCCAAACAATTCCCCAGCCAAAAGAACACTTTGGCAGAGTTCTTTGCTGTTCATGATATTCTCACCTGCCTTTACAGGAACAGATGAAATTATTTTAGTCCTGCATAAACAAAGAAATGTTATCTAGTTTACCAGAAGCCTAAAATGTTTCTTTAAATTAGAATATTTCTTATTTACTTGCTTCTGATTCATTTATGTAATCAGGTTAAACTTAGAGCAACTTAATCCCACCTTGAACTAGACCACACTTGCTGCATCCAAGTCAGACTCCAAGAGAGGCCAAGAATGCCAAAAAGCTCGACCTGTTTTCCCACTGATATCCCCAGGCTTTATAAATATGGCATCTCTAAGTGCTGTTTCATTTCAAAGAGRGCAAGACACTTTCTAAAGTGTTGATGTACTCTTCCATGTGTTCCCAAACTTCCTCCTGTGAACTGTAAAATGATTTAATTCCATAATTCCCTTTGTTTTTTAAATCTTTAATCTTCTTTATCTARAAGGTAGTATGATGATTTCTAGAGGGGCAGGTTTCCCACGTGATCTGAGCAGCAGAAAAGGTGCAAAGCTCCAGCAAGGGATTTACAAAGTCTCTCTTCCCAGTAGATTTTCTAGTACCCAATATTGCATTAGCTCACCCTAGTAGTTATCAACTGTTCGTACTCCACTGAGTCATTCTTTTTTTATGGCAGCTATAGGAACTTTATAACTTTTGTTTGACTGAAATGAGAAGGCCATAAAGACTATGTCGAGGTGATAAAATGCTAGCTTTGACGATGCCAAAGGAAATATTTGTATGCCTGAAGTTATTCACTTCAGCTGTGGATTTCTTTGCCTAACATCACACTCCAGCAGTTATTGATAGAAGCATATAGCAAGCAGCAGAGCTGATTACTGAATGGAATCCACGTGCTCAGAAAACAGCTCAGTGTCTGCTAATACCAGGAATATTCCTCTCAGGAAAAACACATCAGCAAAACCAAACAGCCCTTCTTGTTGACATAGCTTAAAATGAGCCTGTTATCTGGAAGTATGGCAATAAGGCAATAATGTTCCAGGATACAAACCAGGAACACAACATTCCTGGACCTCAACTTTGCTATCTGCAAAATGGGGGAAAATACATATCCAATGTATAGACTGTGATGGTCCTTGGTCTCTGTGTAGACTGGTGATGGTCCTTTGCCATCAATTTTAGTGGGCTCAAGAACAGAACTTCTTTAGATGTAAATAGAGCATCACTCTATGGTTCTCTTTAGCAGTTTTCCAAAGTTAGTAAAAAAAATTTGACAAAATTCTGCCAAACAGTTTTCTTGCTAACTACACAAGTGTTTACTGAGACATTCTTGCTAAGCACCTCCACTGTTCTGTTTCTATTTATTCACCCACTAAGCACAATCATTTATTTCTAGCCATTTTCTTTCTCTAAATTAATTATGCACCAAAAATACAGTGGGCTTATTGTTTCCTTAATTCCTGGCAATCTTACCCATAACTTTTAGAGCTAAATAAACGCAATGCAGGAGCTCTGCCATCCCCAAGGCGCAACAGCTTTTTCAGGAACTAAAATAGCTCGTTATCCCCACCTGGAGGAGGGAGCCTTCAATAAAATRTTTATTCACAGCGAGGAACAGTTTCCTTTTGCAAATGCACATTTGTATCACGGCCAGCATCCCATCATAGGTGGGTATATGAGTGTGCTATATGTGTGTGTGTGTATATGTATGTATGTATATACATATATATATATATATGTGTGTGTATATATATATGCACACACACATTCACACACTACGTATCACTACAAATATAGCTCAAACAGCTCTATTTAAACATGCAATCGCAGATGTCARAGAAGTCTCCGTCAACTAGTAGCTGCTTGATATATTCAAAATAGGTGAAGTTCATTAAAAAAATGATACATGTTATTAAAAAAAAAGGAGTATGCAGATAAATTCCCTGGCAGTATAGCGTGTGTGGCTGTCTGTAAGGTTGTCCAATGGTCCTTCTATATAGGCAAGGAACTGGATTGCTCTAATGGCACTGGAGCTGCTGCCTTCACCTTCACTCACCTCCAAGCACTGCAAAAGCCCATTGGAATGGAAGCGAGCATCAACGTTAGGAAATAATGTGTCATTTTTAATTCTTATCTGTGAATACTTGTGCAAATGCTGATTCAAATAATTGCATCAAACTCAAAAAATACAATTACTTTGCAGGATCGGAGCTTATGTTTGAAAAGAAATTCCTTTATTCTTATTTCTAAGACATTTTATGCTTTAATACTTAAGAATGGAATAGGGCCACAATATCTTGGTTTGACATCCTACATAATGTAAAACAGGTGCTTTGATTCAGCTCTTTCTGCATTTTAACATAAAATTGTCCAAAACAGATTCAGCTTTCTGCATTTTAGCATAAAACTGTCAAAGACATCACGAAGATCTGTATTTTAATCACATTGACCTTTTCTAACAAAACTGGTGTATCTTAATCGAAAAAACAAAACAAAACAAAAACAAAAACAAAACAAAACAAAAAAAAACCTCCTGAAGTCTATTATATTTTCTAGAAATCGTTTGGACTAATGTTACTTTTATTGTGTCTTTGGTATTTTATGAAATTACTCTTTTTGAGGCCTGAATTACTCTTTTTGAGGCGTTTGACTGGGATTACTCCTCCAATTGCTAGTGCAACATGAGCATTCCCCTAGTCTTCTCGAAGTTCCCTGAAATCCCTGGATTTACGAGAGCCGAGCAGCTTTTCCGCACACTTCTCCCACAGCCGTTTCTCAACAAAAGGCCCCATTTTGCCCCATTTTGCCTCCTCCCAGGCAGCCACGCGCAYGGAGCCGCGCGTTCCCGCGGCCTGAGGGCACCGGGCCGCGGGGTCCCGTTCCCGGGAGCCCTTCCCGTTGGGAAACGCTCCCGTTTCCCGCCCCACACGGCGCGTTTCGTGGCCGCGCGTTCCCGCCCTCACAGCGGCGTCACCCGCGCGCGCCGCTGACGCGGGCGGCGGCGCCCGGCGGCCGTTGTGAGCGGGAGGCAGCGGCGGCGGCGCCTCCATCCCGCCCGGTCCCGTCCCGTGCCGTCCCGCCATGGCGGCGCCGCCGCTGCAGCAGCCCAGCTTCCTGCTGGTGAGTGGCGCCGTGGCGGGACGGGACGGGGCCCGGGAGCGGGGAGGGCGGCCGCAGGGCCACACGAGGGCCGCGCTCGCTCTCACGGCGCTCCTTGCCCCGCCAGGCCACGCTCAAGGCGGACTGCGTCAACAAGCCCTTCGCGCAGAGGTGCCACGAGCTGGAGACGCTCATCGAGGAGTTCCCGGCCAAGGTGGGCGGCCGCCTCGCAGCGCCCGGGGGTTTGGGGGACCCTATGCCAGTTATCACAAATTCTGAGGGCTTTAAGCGAAACAGGATGAGCCCTGTCTTTCCCAAGTTAAAAAACTGCCCCCTGCTTAACAAAAAAAGTAGTTTTAGTTCATACTTTTGCATTTCAGCCTATGAGGAAAATTGCTGCTTCAAATAAGGCTCAAAGCCAAGCACAGTGCCCCTCGCAGCACTGGGGAAGTTTGGGGACCCTATGCCAGTTATCCCAAGTTCTGAGCGCCTTAAGCGTAGCAGGATGAGCCCTGTCTTTCCTGAGTTAAAAACTGCCCCCTGCTTAACAAAAAAAAGTAGTTCTAGTTCATTCCATTTCAGTCTATGAGGAAAATTGCTGCTTCAGTTAGGCTCAAAGCCAAGCCCAGTGCCCTTCAGTAATGCCACAGCCTCGGGGATCAGGATCGATATCCTGTAACTGCCCTAGTTGCCTCCCTTGGAAACTCTGTATAGTGATAGTCTGGAAACAGCAACAAATAATCCTGTGCAGTTAAGAGGTGGCCAAGAGCCTTCTGTACCTTCTAGTGCCTGCAACTGATGTGGTTCCAGTGAAGACACATCAACACAGATGACACCTCAGGCACATCATGATGAAGATACATCAACAACAACAGCAAAAGTTATTTCTGTTTTTTTCCTTACAGGAACTGCATGGCATCTTCCCATGGTTGGTGGAGAACATTTTTGGCAGCCTGGATGGCATCATTGTAGGCTGGAATCTTCGTTGTTTGCAGGGGAGAACAAATCCCACTGAATATTCTGTGGCTTTGGATTTCCTAGATCCCAGGTAAAGCCATTAATTTCAGCACAGAAAGAAAATACACAGTGAATAAAAAAAGTGTTTGATCTTTTTACCTTTGTGCAAGTATAAGTTCACAGAAGTGAGAAAGTAGAGGGTGATGACCATGATTTCTTTTCTGATGCTTGTTTGCAGTGGCCCAATGATGAAGCTGGTTTACAAACTCCAAGCAGAAGAATACAGATATGATTTCCCAGTCTCCTATCTTCCAGTGAGTAACTGGAAAAAAAAACTATATGGAGAGAAAATTAAGTTGTTATTGTTGCATTTACTGGAAAGTTGTATGCACTTTATAACACAGCCTATATTGTGCATTAAGTCTGCCTGCTTTAAGTTCATAGCATGCTGCTTTTTTCAAAAGATACTAAAGGAGAGTTCCCTGACATAAATTCTGTAGGAGCCGGTGGTTGTTTGCATGTGAAAATGCTGGCCAGATCTTTGTACTGTTCAGTTAGAAAACATGTACTCTATTTCGTACTCTGACCCCAGAGAAGACAGTGTACTTTAGCTTGGTTACCCATAGTTGTAGGATTAAAAATCGTTTTCCAAGCTCATCAGGGAGCAGTGCCTTCCTTGGCAATGCTTTGTGTCTGAAGACAAACTCCTGACATTGAATGCAACTTTTCATAGTCATGCAAAAATGTTACCTGAAGAATTGTTTCAGTCTGTTTCTTCAGTTGCTACCAGGTACCTGCTAACTAGAAACTGAGCCAGGTAGTTTTGTGGTCTAAATCAAGGAAATGTCACTTAAGGCAGTCACATTTCCACAGCTCAGTTATCTGAACAAAGTTCTCAGGTGGACAGCAGTCTTCTGCTGATCCCGCCTTGGTGAAGGCTTCTTTTCATCTTACCCTGAAATACTGATTTTCTAAGAAAAAGTCAGCAGTTATCAAAGAAATACTCATCTGCATAAGTAACTGATGCAATGCAGCGAACTCCCACTGATCTAAATGTTGGTATCATCCCAGAAAGCTGGAATGCAGCAGAACTTCGCAGGTATTTTGAGAAGATTCTTGATATTTCATTACTCTTTTCCAGGGTCCTGTGAAGGCTTCAATACAAGAGCAAGTCCTACCAGAATGCTCATTATACCACAACAAAGTCCAATTTCCTTCATCTGGTGGTTTAGGTTTGAATTTGGCTCTCAGTATCCTTTTAAGAGTCGGAATTTAACGCCTTTTAAATATAGATATGTAATAAATATACAACAGAATATACAACACAGAAGTGCTTCATGATCTCTCAGTGTTATGCACGTGATTCACTGTGGTGCTGTAGAGTTTGGACTAAACACTCCTAGGAATATTTAGATTCCAGTGAAAGAATAACTTGTCATCTTTATAAAAACTGTTGTGGGAGAATTTCTGGCTTTATTGAAGTCAATAGCAAAACTTCAATGACTTTAGTAGGGCCTAGATGTCACACTTCAGGCTTAGTAACTATTCTTCATTTATGCAATAAGATAAAGGAAGCCAAGGGGAAGTTAGCACCGCAGCTAGTTTACATGTTGGAAGCAGACATGCTGCAGCTGAATTGGTTGCAGTTTGAGCTAATTTAATGTGCCAAGAAAGATAATATAAATGTACTCTGCCRCATAGATAAAAACCTAAATTTTACCAAAATATGTTTGTCAGCTGGAAAGTGAGAAAGTCAGAAACTGGATTTGCTGTTAAGTTATGGCAAGTTAATTTAGCGTCCAGTCAGCATTGGATATTTAACAGCTCTACCTGGTTTTATATCTGATCCTTGACTCTGCTCTCCAGATCCATTTGAATATTACATGTTTTACTTTGCAATTAGTTTGATTACACAGAAGGTAAGAACCTTTTGCTACCATTTATACAGCCCCAGGTGTGTACTGTGGAATCTGGTTATTTGGTTCCTCTTCCTTCTGCTGCCTGTGCCATGTAACACTGCACTCATCATAGCCTCTTAAATTCACTAATACAACAATGTTTCTCCTGCAGTTAACTGCCACAGTTGGTTACTACACCTTTGCTCACAAATGTCTGTGTTATAGAATTATCTATTGTAAACCTTATTTATACTAATCAGGACCACATTGTGTTAATGCTAGCACAGAACCTTCAAACAATTGTAATTAAATTTTCCTACCCTTGGCAGTTTTGCAATTTGTAAATTTAAGGATGAGTGAACAAAGCACTGTTACATGTTGCCAAATGTAGAGCACTTCATGATAAGAACAGTATTTCTATTAAATCTTGGCAATAAGTCATAAGTCTTCAAGCCTGAAAACATCCAGTATGGAATTTCATTTAACAACTTCTGCAATGACATGTAGCAGACAATCCCTAGAGGTGACCTAGTGGTACATCCTGTGCGTATCTATTTCAGAATTCCTCCACCACCCACCATGCCAGCCCTTCCAACAGTGCTTATTTCATCTTGGTGGACACTTACCTGAAGTGTTTCCTACCTACAGAAGGAAGTGTCCTTCCTCCACCCTCTTCCAATCCTGGGGGAGCCATCCCTTCACCTACCCCCAGGTAATGACTGCAGATTGTGGGGGGCACTGCTGACAAAATCTGGATTGCTGGAACAGAATTTCTAACAAGAAGAAAACAAATATACTGTTTATGATGTATGTGCATTATACAATTAGAAAATATATAGAATTATACAATTAGAAAATACATAGATTAATATTCACTTAAACAACTATGCAGCCTTACTTTTTAAAGATTGTTTTCCATTTTCTGAAGTCATGATACCTTCTCTTGTCTGAGACTTAATGACTTCAGTGATTTCCAGTGGCTTCTCCCTCCAGGTCTCCTGCAGTGCCCTTCACTTCGTACGGCATACACCACACCAGCTTGCTCAAGCGGCACATCGCCCACCAGCCTTCTGTGAACGCTGACCCAGCGTCCCAGGAGATCTGGAGATCAGAAACGATGCTCCAGGTGAGCTGCAACTGGGGTCGGGCTGGAAAAAATAAATCATTTCTTGCTGCTAACTGAGGAATCTTGCTAACTGAGGAATCTTGCTGCTAACCGAGGAGTATTTTTTTCAGAGATGCTTTTCTTTCTAGAGCTTGATTCCTTTTTAATTTTACGTGAATTTTATGCTGTAAGCAAGGGTTGGCTGTGGAGAAGCTGCTTCCATTCAGTCCTGGGGAACAGGAAAGGAGTTTCTGGATTCAGGAACTTCTTCCAGCAGAATGGTTACCATGTTGCTAAAGTAAATTATTAATCTTAAGGGCTAACAGTTTCCTCAGTCAGTCACTTGCATTCATATGATGACACCCTGAAACATCTCTGAATAGGTGCCTCTTTGCAAGTACAGATCAGATTTTAAGTATCACAAGCTTCCTTTTTTGTGATTTATGATTAACTATTCTTGGATCTTTTTTTTTCTCCCTTAGTTGAGAAAAATATTTGGTTTTTTTTTTGCAGATCTTTGTTGAAATGTGGCTTCACCATTATTCACTGGAAATGTATCAGAAAATGCAGTCCCCTCACGTCAAGGTAATAGCTTAAACTTCATTCATGAATGGCAGCTGATTGTTGACTTATATTAGGATAAATTCCCATTTTTAAGGAGAATTTTATAGTAGAATAGTCCAATAGAAGAAAATAATTTATCAGAGTATCTCCATGAGTGTGCCAAAACTGCTAATGCCCAGTTAGAAAATATGCTGTGTTTGTATCATCCAGACTTGCTTTCATTGCAAGAGTTGTGGTGTTACTGTTTTGTTTTTAAGATGAGTTTGTGGGATGATCACAACAACCTGAAGGCTACCAATCCAAGCACTAATAACTAGGAAAACCATGTTACTATGTAAAACATAGTAGTAAATCCCACAAGTATAAGACATCTGCTAAAAAAAAAAAAAATTTTTCCAGCAGTGATAGCAATAGTTAAAAAAAAAAAAAGACACTTAAGACCTGTAATCATTTTATAGCATAAATTCAAATTTAAGTGGTTACTAAATTGACCTTTTTTTTTTTTAGCAAATGAACCAATTTTGTTGTTTCATATCCCGAAATACTAATTATTAAAAGTATACTGCTTTTTACCATTATGATGTCAGAAGCAGCTCTCTAGGTTTGGAACACCTGACAAGTTCTTGCTTGTGTAATACACCGTTTTAAGCAGTTTTTGATGGCCTGTTCAGTGACCTACTTGGATGCAAAAAAAACAGTATGATTTGGGGAGGCTAAGATTAAAGACACAGTAAAGATACAGAGAATATAAAGGAGAAAATGCTGGTTTTTAGAATTCCCTCTGGGTCCCAGTGGAACTTTTATAGAAAGAGGGAGAAATATAAAAGCAGCTTAGTATTTATTCCTGGGMAAAACAATAATATGAGAGTTGTTAGAGCAAGAAATTCTAGTTCTTCATTAGGCTATAAAATAGCAAATGTACGTGTGTTTTGTTGGGGAAGAATATTGGAGAGCTGAAACGTGGTGGGGTTTATCTTAAAGTTGAGGTCAAACTGCAAACTCTAATACTGCCAAGTCTCCACTTGGGACTCCTAGTAGCATGGCTGTGCACCAGTGATGGAAAGGCTTTGCTTGAAGTAACTTTGTTCTGTCTGTCTGCCCGCTCTCTGTGCATGAAGCGCTGTGCTTAGGCCAGAAATMATGAAGTGCTTTAAACTTCTCTCCTCTGTTCACCCTCTGCATCTCAGATTTTCTCTTCTAACAATAGGGGAGCAGCAGTTTAGACAGTAATTCTGACTGTTACATTGGAATTCTTTAAGTAGATTTTAAAGTTCTTTAAAAGAATCAACTTCAGGATCCTCCCATACATATGGGAAGCAGACTGAGGCCACAGTCTCCTGATGATATTTTATGTTAATTCCTGATGAAAAATAGTATTGGGCATGTAGAAAAATGTCTTCACCTTTTGGAGCTAGAAGTGTGTGTAGGAAACTGGAACTCCCCCTCATGTGCAGAAAGGGACATAGGATCTCTCTGGAGGAGGACTGGGGAAATGTTCCACTAGAGTGTAGGACAGCACTGTTTTGTAACTCAGTGGTGCTTAAACTAAGCTTTGTAGACTGGTTGCAGGCTGGGCTGAAGGAGAACAGTCCACTTCTTAGTTGTTCAAATGAGGAAGCAGAATGTGTAGAAAGATACTTGTTTTGTTTTAACCTAAGTGTGCTTGCCTGGAAATCCAAGTGATGAGTATGCAGATTCACCTGATTCCATTTAGCTTTCTGTGCATGTGGAAGGAGGAGTAATTAGTGACCAAGGATCTGGTGTTTGGATGTTTGACCGTTAGTGAGTAAAAACAGCCACATACCTGTACTGGAGGATGGGACGAGGCTCCACAAAACTTGTTCTTTTTCTGGCAGCCAGACTTTTTTGCCTTGATGGGCCAAGCCAGATCCCAGACATCTAACTTCCTTCTGTGAAGTGTCTTGAGAAATGATAGATCTCAAAAATAACTTYGTCATAGACTTCTGTTTAGAAGTAGAAAAGAGGAAGAGGAATGAATAGGAAAGAATTTCTTTTAAAAACATACACTTTCTATTTTGCTGCTTTGAATTTATCTTGGATCTGGTGTGAACCTGAGGTTAACACTATTTACTATGCTGGGTTTGAGGTTTCTCCCCATGAATTCCTATTTCCCCATTCTGTGTTGTTCTACCTTTGCTGTCCCTTTCTTGGATGCCCCAGAGCCCAAGTGTGCAACATCTCTTCTCCTGTTTCCTTCTGCTGTAATCACAATGAACCCTTAAAATGAAATTGGCTACTATTTTATTTTATGTACCGCTTGCTGCCCTTCCAGTGCCAGGTGACACAGACCCCGCACTGCATGCGGACCACCCAAGACTCTGCCTCTTGCTGGTTGCTGTGGCTGGGCAGCTGATTACGAAGCAGAAGATGCATTTGTGCTGTTGGGGAGCTTGCAGTGAAAATGCTCTTGTAAGAGCGTAGAACCAAAAGACACCAAACTGACTCTGGAGGCGGTTAGGTAGAGGCTGCTCAAAGACAGAGGAGGTGTGATGGGGAGAGTTGGTTTAGATGCCTGTCAGTACTCACTGGGGTCTCTGTGTAACAGTGTACATCCTTTTGTTTTGTTGTTTTCATTAATTTCATACATCTATGTTGCTGTCGCTACAGTATCCTGTTCACCGTAGAGTCATAAAAATACCCTTTACCTTGCTCCTTCAAGGAGAAATGAGGCTGTGGATTCCAGGATTTCACTGTGAAGGCTCAATACCTTTTGTATCAGCAGGTACCACTGTATGTTAGAGGTTTGTGCCTTTTCATACATGTGATACTTCCTTAGTACAAGCAATGTCCTCTTTTGAGGTTCTTCACAAGACCTGTCACYCTCCCCAAAGAGCTTTAAGCAGAACGAGAAGCCTGAGGCTTTGCCAGAATGGAAAGCTACTGGAGAGGTTCACAGGGACTATAAAATGAAACAAAACAAAAGAAAGCAAAACAAAAAAACCCCACCATTTTCTTCTCCTATTCCTTGGCAAGACAGAAGTATTTGAGTTTCTTCCCAGCCTACAAACCCTGTCTTTCCAGCACTACAGGAAAACTATGACAAAACTTTCAAACTAGTTTTGAAAAAGCTTCCAGAAAAGTGAAGCTTTTTATGTTTTTATTCTATTATTACCCCTCAAAAAAAAAAAAAATCCTATATGCTCTATATATCCCTACTTGCTCTGGGGATAGCAAATAGCCCTCTCCCAGCTCTGTTTTTTGACACCTGCTCCCAGGTTCACTGGGATCCCATCCCAACATCATGTCAGTTACTAATAAATGTATGAAATAAWWWTMKAKAWTAWTMTMKAWWWTTATCTAGATTAGATAAAGAATACAAAATACCGTGGAATCCAGCTACTGAACATACGAAGAGGATACTGTGGCTGCAGTTGTTATTGTGATATGTTGTCCCTGACTGTATTTGTGACGTTCATTTTTCCCCCCCACCCTTCTTCCTTGGGCTCATTCTCACCTTTTTTTTCTCTTGCTCTCTTCTCTCCTTTTTCCCCTACCCCCCTTCCTTTTTTGTTTCTGTTGTCTCAGCTGGAGTTTCTCCACTACCGACTCAGTATCTCCAGTAAACACCACGGTAGTCCTGCCCAATCCAGCTACCAGGCCCTCCACGCATACCAAGTATTACCATCTTTTCATTTTGTTTCCTTTTTWAAAAAAAAATCTTGTTCCATCATATAATCTGCAAAGTGTAATAATTGGCGCTAGCAGAAAAAGCTGCGGTACAGATAAGGCGCAGGTTTGTAATTTGATTGAGAACACTGCATTGAGATTTCTGAAATTTTCAGAGAGCAGCTACTGAAAWACCCTAGTGAAGCCTACAGAGAAGACAATGAAAATACTAGATTAGCAGGAGGACTATCTGGGAGCTCCATTTGCAGAGCTGCATCTCTCTGATGCATCATAAAAGAGGTTTATGCATCAGCTATCTAATGTTTTTGAAACCAAAAGTGGTTTCACTGATGGCAGATTTCTGCTCTCTTACACTACTGATTTAAACAAACCATGCACAGAARAGAAGATCAGAACTTGCATGACTGTCACCTAAAATGAAGGTAAGGTAACATCTAGTTTCCTCCAGCAAGTTCAGTGTCCTTACATAGTGCAAAATTTGTCCTTGACAGCCTGAACCTGATTGCCCTGCTTTGCAACAGGACAAAAGAGGTACACTTGCAGATTGTTTAGGAAATGTGCATGCAAAACCTTTCCTGTTGGAACAGATTGCTGGGTCCTCTTTTCCTACTTCAGCCCTTGATTCATTGGGTSTTCATTTGGGGAAAGGGAATGGCAGAGCATGTGCTCTATACAGCTCTTTTATAGCATAAGGTGGAATTTTCCTGCTGTTTAATACTTTACTTTTTGTATAAAGAAGCTCGAAGTACTTCTTACAAGGGAAAACAGTAGCTACTATTTGCTTTAAGATCTTTTTTACTATTAGATTTATCTATTTGCCAAGATAGAGAAAAAAAAGAAGAAAGGTGCATCCCATAAGCTAAGATTTGACAACGAATACAGCTAGAAGGAAAATGCCTTTTAAACAACTATATTATCATGCTGATAATCCAAGTTAAGAAGGAATTATAAGAATTATTAATTGAAAAAGTATTAGTATGACATTAAATGATGTACTGAAAAGTGCTACTGGTAGTTTTTTTAAGTTCTAAAGGGATCTTGGAGGGTCACCAATTTTCCCAAGCCTGGAGATTTGAAAATGACACCTATTCAAGATCTACAGCAGGGTACTCAGACTCTCCTCTTGCTTTTGAGGATCTTCATCTAAAATCCTATGAGTAAAAAACTTCTCAAACCCCTACCATCTTATACGTGCTCTTCTCAATACTCTGGATAAACATGCTGACCTACCAGGACATGTCAAGAATTCAGACAGCTTCGATAGAACTGATCACGGGATGTCTTTTCCCTTAGAGAAGTCTTGCATTTCCAGATGAGGAGATCTGTCATCAAGGCTTGAATCTTTTCCAGGAGTGAACTTCAGAGCGTAGAAATCAAATTTTATGAAGAATGTTTGACTTGCTTTGGAATATAAAGACATATCTGTTTTAACGTGGGCATTGCCAAAAAGGGATAGCATTCAATATATAGCTATAGCACTGGAAACACTCTTGACTGTCTTTAAGAAGCAGAACCTTTCTATGTAAAGATACCTACAAGGTCCTATGAGTCACAGTCCAAACTTTACTCAGCATGGCTTTGTTATGGCATCCTGGAAACATCTCACAGCTTCTGTTCCATGCACTCTTTCAGCATCTTCCATTATACTTGCTGCTGTCTTTAGTTTCCTGTGCATTCTTCCTGGCTTCCTAGACACGAGCACTGAAAGACTTAGAATATAAATGAAATGACAGAATGGCTGAGGTTGGAAGGGACCTCTTGTGATCATCAAGTCCAACCCCTCTGCTGCAGCAGGGATACCTAGAGCACATGACACAGGGCGGCATCCAGGCGGATTTTGAAGACCTCCAAAGAAGGAGACTCCACAACCTCTCTCTTCAAATTTGTCTTCAGTAGTAGATTGAGATTACCTCAGTACCCCTAAGAAGATTACAGGAGCAAAGGGGGCAGTGTTTTGTCCACAGAGCAGTTCTGGCCTAGCGTGTTTTCTCTTGCTCTTTTTTTTCTTCTTAACCTCATGCATCTCCCTGCTCCTCCATACACAAGCTCATCTGTTAGCAACATCACAGTGGTTCCTTGTCACTTCATACTGAACTCTTTCTAGAACTCTTTTATAAGACAAAGGAGTGTCAGCATAGAAAGGAAAGCTCAGTAAAGAGMCAGCCAGGAACACAACAAAAGATCTGTTGTGCTGTCTGCAGCAGTCAACAACAGTAATGAAAGATACTCTCTTTTTCTTCAGAAAGGGATTAGTTAAAAGCCTACACAGATTATCTGTTCTGCTGTGCTCACCTAGTTTGAAATTTATACATTTGAAAGTTATACATTTCTGAGTTATGTCATTTTCTGAGGTGGCTTAGCATGTAATACTCATTACCTGTCTTTTGCTTTGAATGTAGGAGTCATTCAAACCCACTGAAGAGCATGTGCTAGTGGTAAGACTGCTCGTGAAGCACCTGCATGCTTTTAGCAACAGCCTGAAACCAGAGCCTCTCTCCCCTTCAGCCCACTCCCACACAGCTAGCCCCCTAGAAGAGTTTAAAAGGTAGGTACACGAGTGACCTGTCTCTGAAACGTACAGGTGTTCTCCATGGGAAAACTCTGCTGTCAGTGAGTGGTTGAAGTCAGGTTGCTTTAACAGTTAAATATAGCTGTAAGTTATTGAAAATTTGAGTTGTGATTCAGTGGACAGAAGTAGATTCAGTTGAGAAAGTACAAGTTTGGGTCAGTCCTTTCTGGGTTTGCATTTGTGGAKTAAAAAAAAAAACAAAAGTTTTTCATGCCATTTTATACACATAGCTGTGTTTCAATCCATTGCAGGGTTGTGATTCCTCGGTTTGTCCAGCAGAAACTTTACATCTTTCTRCAACACTGTTTTGGCCACTGGCCTCTGGATGCCTCTTTCAGAGCTGTAAGTATCTGAGGCTCTACTAAATCAGAATTAGTAGTTTGTTATTGCTATATAAATTGTTACTTCATGGGCTTTTTTAATAAAGTGCACGTTAGATCCGAGAAGTGTTTTCTTTTAAAACAGGCTTGTTCTTAAGGATTATAATTTCTTAATTTCTAATAGAGTATGTTGTAAACAAGAGTAATACAACATTGATTTATGATAATAAGATACTGTAAATACTACCTCCTGCAAGCAGAAAGAGGCCACAACCCTTGCAATAAGAATTCAAAGTGCAGTGCAGCAGGGCTAGATGTTGCTGACTGCTTGTTGCCTCTGTCACAGTAGTGAATACATCTGTCAAGTACAAACATAGGGCAAAACTTCACAAGAAATCTTTGCAGATGCCATGGCAAAGCTTTCCTTGGCTTCCATGCAGTMAAGAGTCCATTTCCTCAGTGTGGAATGCACGCAAGGACATCAGAGGTCAGCTGAAATGCTGTCCCCGTAATGTCTCATTTTTGCTTTAGCACATCAGAACTGTTAGACCTTAAATGTACCTTAAATGCAGTCATCAACTGAGTGTCCTTTTTATAGTCACCATTTGAGCTATGCATCATTTGGTACTACAGAAAATCCAGCTTGGTTCTAATGAATACAGAATTAGTTCTTGCAAATCTTCTTCAAAGATATGTGAATCACTACATAGAACTTTAGTGACAACTAAAAACCTATAGTAAGAGGACATTTACTCTGTTCAAAGCAAAAAACAAAAAAAAAACACACAAAACTCTTCTAACTTTTCTCTCTCCTTTTTCAAACTATATTGATACTCAGATGTGTTTTTCTGTGTGATTTTACTTTAGGTGCTGGAGATGTGGTTAAGTTACTTGCAGCCTTGGAGGTACGCTCCTGAAAAGCCACCTCAAAGTTCAGAGCCCTCGTCTCGCATGGTGTCAGAGAAATGGTAAGGAAACAAAACAAAGTGCTCCAATTTTTCAAAACCAGGCCTCAAGTTTATGCAGATCTTGAATAAAACAGCATGATTTYAAGAGGCATCCAACAAGCTTCCTGTACGAGATCAGAGGTGATTTCTTATGAAATAGAGGGTTTGTTTTAAGAGGAACATTCTTTTGTCTTAGCGCAAACAGGTCATCTTTCCAGGAGATAGCCTAAAAYATTCCTTTTATGAATTTGTCAGAAAACAAAATATTAATAAATAGCTGTACTCACAAATCCTGTACTCATTTTGACAGGGCTGCCTTCATTCAAGAAAACCTGCTCATGTACACCAAGCTGTTTGTAGGATTTCTGAACCGAGCTCTTCGAACGGATTTGGTCAGTCCAAAAAATGCTCTCATGGTGTTCCGAGTAGCCAAAGTGTTTGCTCAGCCCAACCTGGCTGAAATGATCCTGAAAGGTAAATGGAAATGTTCACATTTACACTATCTAGTCTTGTTCTTTCTTCTTAATGGCAACATCTATTTCAGAAAAGCAGCTGTAAGATGTTTTGTAACCAGCCCCCCAACCAATACAGAAATATTATGTAATCATCTTTTCTACTTTCCTCTCACTCTAGGAGAACAGTTATTCCTGGAGCCAGAACTTGTTATTCCCCATCGTCAGCACCGGCTTTTTATGACCCCCACACTTAGTGGAAGCTTCTTCTCATCGTGGCCTCCAACTATTACAGATGCCTCATTTAAGGTGAAGAGTCATGTTTACAGCCTGGAGGGACAGGACTTCCAGTATAAACAAATGTTTGGCCCTGAAGTCAGAAATTTGGTAAGAAACAACAGGATTCTTGGCACAAGTCTTTCTATTCTGATAGRCATTTCTCCATCCTGAGCATCTATGCTATTAGAAAAAAAAAAAAAAAAGAGTGGAAAACTTCACCTCCAAGTACAGCCACAAAAATCTACTTGTTTTTTTCCAAAATAAGGAGGGCTTCTTCTGAATTGTGAATGGGAGGGCTTGCTGCTTTAGAGCAGCCTGTGATGAACGTTTCCTCTCAGACTTGCTGTTTATTCTACATTTCTGATCTCTGCCTCGWGCAAACCAGGTAAAAAGAGCAGGAGAAAAAGTAGCTGAAAAAGTTAAGTAGCACTTGGGTTTCTTGAAGTGTTTCAGCAGCAGAGAACTACTTCTGTCCTACTGGAAGTGCAATTAATTTATTGTGGAAGTCTGTATTTACTAAGAGTGAGTTTGCTGGGCCTGCTCTGACTGATAGATATCAGGGCAGAATTTCATCCTTATATTGATGTTTAGTGGTACTTTATCTTTACATCCTAGAATTAATTACATTTTCTCCCCCCTAAGGTGTTAAAACTGGCTCAGCTGATCTGCCAGGCCCAGCACACAGCAAAATCCATATCAGACCATTCTGCAGAGACACAGTCTAGCCAGTCCTTCTTTTCATGGTTTAGATTTACACCATCCGATATGAATGGGTCCTACACAGGCAACGACCTGGATGAAATTGGGCAAGACAGCATCAAAAAAACAGATGAATATTTAGAGAAGGCCCTGGAATATTTGTGTCAAATCTTTAAGGTATGTAACACCTTTTGTAATTCTCTTACGAGACACCACGAACAAGTACGTGCAGTACTGTGTGGCAGAGGTTATCCAGTGACCCTGCTAGCAAAGTTTGGCTTAAAAACTTTTTAATCTCTACTTTCCCCAAGCACTTGAAAACTCCTTTCTATATAAATAGAACTAGATGGTCTGAATTTCTAAATATCAAGCCCARGCTTTCTTAACTGACTCTCTTTTGGACTGTATAGTTTGTAACAAACGTGGGTCTCAGCTTGCACATGTTCTGGAGCCTGCAAGTAGCGTGGCTTATATTTAAAAACACTCCAAGACTTTCAAAGTTAAAAAGGCTAAGAAAATACAACTACAGGTGTGGATGAATAGAGGAACTGCAAGTTAGCTGTTGCTTTAGTTAAAATAGCAGAATCCTGTCCCAGACAGGCTCCCAGAATTGGCCTGGGAGAAGTTGTTTTACACGTCTCCATCAGGTAACAGATACAGAACAAAATTTCCTTGGACTTTGATGAACACAGACAAATCTGATAACTTTTTATCTCCTCCTCATTTCTAATCAAACTGCTGTTTGAGCAGTTCTCAGCCCCCATGCTGGGGGCTGACAAAAGCTTCCACTGCTGAGGAGTTTGTGAAAGGAGAACAGATGGAATAGAAGAAGGGGGCAGATCAAACACATGGTTTAGTTCTGTGTTGTTCTTGAGCAGCTGAGTGAAGCCCAACTGAACCAGATGATGATGAAGTGTGGGACAGCTCAGGATGAGAATGGAAAGAAACAGCTTCCAGACTGCATTGAGAGTGAGGATGGGCTCATTCTTACACCTCTTGGCAGATACCAGGTGAGAGAAGCTTCCCTGCTACTACCTTAAAACTTATGAGAAAACAAGAACATTGTTTTTCTACATGAAGAGAAATACACTATTGCTGGTACTAGGAAATGCCAGTATGAAATGGGAGCTACAAGACATGGAATTTGTTTTTCCTGTTTCCAGATCATAAATGGCTTACGTAGATTTGAGGTACAGTATCAAGGAGATACTGAGCTTCAGCCCATCCGAAGCTACGAAAATGCTACTCTTGTTCGCCTCCTGTTCCGGTTATCCTCAGCACTTAACCAGAGGGTTAGTAAAAAACCATCTCCTTTTGTACTTAGTTGTGTATATAAGAGTTCTTCGCTGCATCTGCATATATATGACACTCAATTTGCTCCTGCACTCATGTTCTTTACTGGGGTTTACATGGGAGGTGAAAATTTCCTAACAGCAGCAGGTCTACTTCTCTACCTCAGCCTCTGTTCTTTCTACCTTGGTTTTCTTTTGCAAGTAAAACAAAGCATTGATCAAGAACATTTTGAATGTATTCTTTATGCTTGATGAATTGTGTTCTTCCTATAGATGAGATAGCTAGCTAGATATAGAGATACGTATGAGGAAAGCCTGCACTGAAGCAGTTCTGTTTAAAAATGTACCTTGATTTTGTATCTTCTGTAATCCTCCTGTATCTTCATTCCATCAATTACACACACAAAAACAACCTATAGTTATTTCACAACAGTTGCAGTATCTATAATACTAACGTTTAAATTTTTCTTACCGCAGTTTGCTGATCAGATGGAAGTACTGTGCTCCAGGGAGGATTTCCTCGGCAGACTTTGCCGCTACCATCTTACCAACCCAACCCTTGCCCAGACCACGAGGTGTACTCCTATGCTGAAGGAGAGGACGAGCCAGAATTACGGACCAAGAATCAGTCTGAGGTTTCTGGCTAGCTACAGAACTCTCGGTTCCTTGCTATTGATCTACTTCATTGCCTCCTGGTTCTGCATCGGGCCCGTAGGTTGCACATTCATTGTCCTGGTTGGGTATTTGCTTTATGCCATACTGATGACATTCTTTTTTGAAGGGTGGAAACCTCATCAACACTAGTTTCTTTCTCCTTCCCACAGCWCATCAGTGTAACATAGATATAGTCAGGATAACCAGTCTGGGGTTCAGCAAGTAAATCATTTGCATTATTATTATTGTATCAGACTTTTAATTTTAAAGTATTTTTTTAAATATTAAAGTTGAGCAAGTTTTATGAGCGGAATGAAACATTTTTGTGGCAGCAGAACTGATCAGTGTAAATTCTATTTTTTATAAAAGCTTTCTTACAGAACTTAGCAGACGTGATTTCTTTGGCGGGTGGCGGGAGGTGGGAGCTGCTGCCGTGGACCACCTGAAGAAACCAGGGCAAATATACCACCCTGTGTGGGGTGAATATACCACCATGTGCAGTGAATATACCATCATGTGTGGCAAATATACCACTGCCTGTGGCGAATATACCGCTGTGTCCAGCGAATATAGCACGGCCTGTAGCAAATATACCACTGCCTGTGGCAAATGCTACTTGGTTTAGCAACACTGCTCTCCTGAAGCCTCTGTCCACTGATCTGAGGCAGGAATTGGCCCTCTGAGGGGACCGTTGGAGGACTCCCTAGAATCACTATGGTTGGAAAAGACCTTCAGGATCACTGAGTCCAACTGTTAGCCCTTCAACACCCTGGCTGTTAAACTCCTCCCTAACTGCCTCATCTATGCATCCTTATGGTCACAGCCAGCACCGTTTGAAAAAAGAAAAAAAAAAAAAATCCTGAAACACGGAATAAAACCCGAAAAACGGCCGCAAGGTGCGAGCAGGCCCCGCGAGGGCCCCGCGCCGCCCGGCCCCCG